CTGTGCCACTGGGGGGCGAGGAGTAACGGAAAATACTAAACAACCAAGCCAAACCTGGCTTGGTTGTATAGTAACCTAAAATATATATATAATTATTATAAAGTTAACGGTTGCTTTTACTCTTTGTGAAAAAATCCACGAGTTTAGACAAAAATAATGCATTTCATTAACGAGCTACAGACAGACCTACCCGATCCTTTCCTTTTCCTCAGTCAACATACTCCATTAGAAAGACGGTCCTAATGTCAGTCCATCCGCGAAGCCAATATATCTAGCTTTTAAAATAACTCCACACCTTCTTAGGGGATTCATGTTGGTGTGATCAGCATGATGAAGAAGTACCGGGGTAACAACCAGCGTATCGCGGCGAGCACCGCAGAAAACGCCCGGTAACTCTGTCCTCCGCAATTTCGCTGCTAGGGGGTCACTGTACACAACCTACGCTGGTGGAGCATCGAGCGGCTAAGGTAACTGTAGACGTAACTCCGATCAATGAGGATTAAAAGCCTTACAGCCTCTCTTTGTTTACTAGCTATAGGAGGAAGTGCTGCTTTCTCTAGAAGTTTTAAACCTAGATCCTCCTTAACGTCCGGAAACAGGCACATCTCCCACTACAGAGAAACCTCGCTTCTCATAGGTGCTAACCCTACACTTCACGCCCCTGTTAGGGCGGGTTGGTCTACGCGGACTGCTTGCTCACTAGCTATGACGACAGAATCCAGCTTTTACACGCACTCGGTTCACACAGAATACTAAATCGACTGATATCTCTCAGCGACAGAAGAGCCTATTCATTTGTTACGTTAACTGTGTATATTAGTACCTTATTTAGAGTGACTATATACAACTTTACTTACAGAAGTCGTCACACTAATATTTTCTAAAAACAATGATAAACTTAATCCTTCCACTACAGACTCGTGAGCAGTGATTATCTTACATAAAGCCATGGCAAGCAGTCACTATCTTAAACTTCCTGTATCAAAGTGCTCGTGCCTATTTTACACAGAGCCGTGACAAGTAGTAGCCACCGTCTTAAACTTCCTGTATCGAAGTGCTCGTGCCTATTTTACACAGAGCTGTGACAAGTAGTAGCCACTATCTTAAACTTCCTGTATCAAAGTTCTCGTGCCTATTTTACACAGAGCCGTGACAAGTAGTAGTCACTATCTTAAACTTCCTGCTAAGAATTGCTCGTGCCTATTTTACACAGAGCCGTGACAAGTAGTAGCCACCGTCTTAAACTTCCTG